CATGTTTCCTCCTGCATCTAGCAGGGGATGGAGGCTCTCCCTGGTCTTTCTTTTGTTGTTGAAGTACTTATAGAAACATTTCTTGTTACCCTTGATTGGTGAAGCCAGAATAATTTCTAGCTGGGCTTTACACCTCCTGATTTCTGCCCTGCATAGCCTCACAGCATCTTTGTAATAACTATGAGTGGCTAGCCCCTTCTTCCAAAGGCTGTAAACTCTCCTTTTCTTCCTGAGTTGCAGACAAGGCTCCCTGTTCAGCCAGGGTAGCCTTCTCTGGCACTGGCTTCTCTTACAGCACCTGGAGACTGCCTGCTCCTGTGCCATTAACACTTCCTTCTTAAAGAATGTCCAGCCTTCCTGGACCCCTAGGGATCTCCCAAGGGATCCTGTCCAGCAGGTGCCTTAACAAGTCAAAGTCAGCCCTCTGGAAGTCCAGGATGTCAGTTCTGCTGCCTCCTCTCCTGGCTTCTCTCTTCTTAGAGAACTCTATTATTTCATGATCGCTGTGCCCTAGTCAGCCCCCAGCTACCACATCATCCACCAGTCCTTCTCTGTTCACAAAGCAGAGGTCCAGCAAGGCACCTTTTCTGGTAAGTTCACTCACCAGCTGGAAAGGTTTATCCTAATATTGTCACATGCATTTTCTTCCTCCAACTGCTGCTAGGCCTCCAGCACGGAATTTGCAATACAGTAAGCAAAAATATGAGACTGATGAGATAAACTTTGTGAAGAGGTGTGAATCAAAATATTGCTTCAAACATACAGAAAACAAGTATCAAATACTGCAGTACTCCATTCCAGTAATATTGAACTCTGTGTTAGATATGCCAAAGAAATACTAATACTTTTTGGCACTGCAGCTTAAGTGAATAGAAATAGAAAGCACATGAAGATTCTAAGCTTTGTGAGAGCTCAAATCATGGAAGTAAAGAAAAACTTCTTGTATAGAGAAGCTGCTGAAGTTTAAAAGAGAAACGGGACTGCATTGAGAGAGGCAGCTACAACAGTGTAGCTTCAGAGCTTGCACTGTCAAAACCACAACAGCAATGCAGGCTGAACTGACAGAGGGCATATAGAGACTCACCCAAATGCAAATAATATAATCCTCATGACAGGAACAATAGTTGTGTATCACCACAAATGGACATGAAGTGAAACAAACCCAGAATGCAATCTTATACAAAGAAAGCCTGCTCTCTCTGGTTTATTTCTGGATCAACTTAAGCTGGAGTCTACTTGTCCAAAATTTAGTTTACAGCAAATATAGAAGACTGATACAGAAGTCAATTACTCTTTCCCTCAGGTACAACCCTGCACTCACAATCCAGTCAACCTCACAGAATACAAGAAGGAGGAAATGAAAACAAACAAACAAGCCCAAATTCAACAAGTTTGGCAAGAATTATCAGTCCTGGAAAAGGCAGGAAGGTATAACAAGCAAATTAAGACCCTTATTCATTTTCAGTAACTGCTTTTATATGTTTATATACACTCCAAGTAAAGATTAGGTTCCATATTAAAAAAAAAAAAAAAAAAAAAAAATCAACATACTGTTCTAAAATAATATTTAATAAAGCATACTCAAATAAAATGAAGACTTCATGTAAATCATTTTGTCTTCAGTATGACATGCTTCTAGAAAGACAGGTTAAGCTGTTTTTATCTTAAAGTGAATTAAGCAAAATGAAGCAGTCTCAAGTCTGCAATTTTACAAATCAACAGTTTCACCATATGATAGATATTTAGAACTAAACTTTCTTCCAATTCTAACAGTCCAACAAGTTTCTATCACAGTCACAACCTTTAATTTTCATACAAAAAAAATAATCTGAAAAGCCTTACCAAGCTTTAAAAAACCAGAACAGATAAAGATGCATATATTGTGTTTTTAGAAACATTTCTATTTAAACAGCCAGTGACACACAGTAAACTACACATTAAATGTTTGACGAAGGTAATCAGACACTCAGGCATTTTACAGCACACTTTCTTCTCACAAAACTTGTAAGTACTCTTGCTAAAAATATTTTTTCCACATGCAAGATTACAGATTTCTGAAGAGACAGACAGACCTTACACAAAGATTTTATGTTGGTGTTTACAGAGTAAGAATTAACAGCATTATCATTAAGTTGAAATATAGTTAGGAAAAAAAAAAAACAGAATTCATGGTCAGAAAACAAATAAATAGAAACCAAATAAAAGGTTTTGTTTTCCCTTGCAAGTTACAGGATGACCACATAGACTCATTGTAAAGATTAAAATTTTTCCAAGACAAAGGAATGCATCACAATCTCAAACAAATGTATTTCACTTACCTAAAAAGAAACTAATTCTGTACCACAAACTACATTTTCATCATACTGCTGACAAAGCAGAAGTTGTGTAGAGGCTTAAGGCTGCATTCCTTCCATCCTAACTATCAAGTGTATGTATACAAAGTAATGAGAGCAGTCAACTGCTTGCACTCAGTTCTTGAGACCCTCCCCTTAAGTGGTAACAATCATATTCTGAAAATTACTCGCTCAGTTACATTTTTATTATTTTAGTCTAAAACCTATTCTGGTTACTGTTAGAAAAGAGACAAGTACCAGTGACCGCTTCACAGATTTCAAGATAGAGCAGTTTAGATGTGTTACCGCATAACAAATGAAGACTTAACAGAGTATAAAATTTATCTTCTACTATATTTATGAGAACATGACAATCTAGATAATGTTATTGGCAAAAAATGGTTTAAATTATGGTAAACTTGCTCTGTTCAAGTTTAGAATAATAACTAGGGTTTTATGTTATATCCCATCTTCTCAGGCCAGTTAGAGCAACATATTCTCAAGAGACCAAAAGTGAACAGAAAGGGTGAACCACAAAGATGGTAGTCAATCAATTACAATATCAGAAGTAGAAACACAAATAAAATTTTTTTAAAGAAAGTAAATAATTGATTTTGAAGGGGGTTTGTGTGAAGACAGATTTTGGGTTCACTAATCCCAGTGAGGCTATGGCTGCCCCATTTAATGGCATGCAGCCTCCATCCTGCAGAAGAAAACAAGCCTTGAAGTGACCTTCATTTCTACACCTTAGGGAAAAAAAGCCACAAGCAGTTAGCTCACTACCTTTCACTTAGTTTGCACCTCACTCACTACAGAGCCAGACTTTCTCAGCCACCTCTTGGTTCTTCTTTTGGAAACTGAGACAGTCTGATTCCTGTTCAGTTAAGGGAACCTCTGTCCAGAAAACAAAGGGAAAAAACACTGTGGAAAGCTACTGAAGGACTGACTGCATGTGGATGAAGTGGGCAGTCTGTTAACTACAGCAGAAGCTAAAGCTGGTCTCTGGACTACGCCCAGCATGTATACAGCTGCAGCCTACACCTGTGATACAAACAGGAAAGGTATAAGAATAGCACCAGATAAGCTTCAAAGCTAAGGATATCATCAGGTCACATTGCAAGTTATAGAAGTCCTAATGATTCAAACAACCTGATGTGCTTCCAGATTTTTGCAGAAGGATAAGAGGGACAGAATACCCTACTGATTTTTCCAGATTAAGAAGCACATAGCACAGTAAGAGAGCACAGATCCAGAGATATGCATCATATCCATATCCAGACCTTCTGTGTAATCCGTAGGTTTCATAGCTGTACCATCGGTTTTGTACACATAGCTACCACAAACTCAACTAGAATGTTTGTTCAGAGTGGTTTTTTTTGAAAGACACCACAGAGTAAAAAACAAAGGGAAAGCCTAGAAGTACTTACCAGTTGTGACCAGTAAGAGTTCCCCATCTCCTTTTGCAAGAAGAGATCCTAATTCTAAAACAGGGCCAACTTCTACCTAAGTAAGCTTAAATTTCACTGAAGTTCCAGAAATATGCCGTACTTCTCACTGCCTTTCCTAAAAGGTTGCAGAAGGCACACAATGGAACAGCTGCTGTGTTCTGCTCCAGTGATAGCTACATTTCAATGGTGGATTAAGTGGTCCAGAACCATCCTTAAGTAACTCAGGGGTACAGTGAAGACTGTTTATAAAGCCATACAATGCTGAGACATACTCAGTATCTTTATGAACTCTAGTGTAGTCATACTGGGTAGAACACTACAAGACACAGAACCTGAAAACTCTACAGTTACAAATAACTGTCTTTGGCCTGATGTTATACTGCAATGTATTATTTGCATTTTCATATTCTTGTATACACCTTCAGGGCATGAATCCTATTAAATATATTGTCATGTAATTCTACAGTGCTTTAACGAATAGTGAAAACTAACCACAGATAACATACACTAATTCTTTATCATCCTCCCTCAAAATTATAGTATAAAGTTGGATTCTGTAGTACTGAGGACACTCAACTGAAAAGTTTCTTTAGAGAATTTTGTCTGGAGTTTCATTGCAGCTTAAAGATTTGGGGAGTAACAAATCTGTATTTAAACAGGTGTGCTTGAAGCTTTATGACAGGTCAGGCAACTCAGCAAAATAAAGTAGTAAGTACACACACACCTACACTTTTATTGATAACAATTTCCACTAAGGAAGTGATGAACTTCAAGACAAAAAACAAAATAAATTCCTTCTATGTGGCAATTCTTCAGCTAAAGCATCTTATTTTAGCTAAAAAATTTTAAGTTAGAAATATTAGAATGTAGACAATGCCTTGGACTCACACCTTCTTAGCTATAATCACAAATAATTGCTGCTTCTTATACTAATGAGCAAGGCAAAATAGAAAGTAATTTAGACAATTCATTCAGGGTAATAGCTTTGTGAGTTAATATTACTGCTGAGAGATCCATTCTCAATTTCCTTGAGTACAATAACAGAGCAGCAGTAAGTTTTTCACTTCAGGGAGCTTTTCTATCCAATGTAAATATAAACAGAAATCCCATTATCTATTGATAAACAATAAAACGAGTTAAATAAAGTTTCATGTATTACAATTTCTTGTAACAGCATCAGCTCCCTGGATCACAAGTGTAAATAAAACACTTCACTTACTGAAATCAATGAGAAACCTTCCAAATCCTTGCCTTTGGTATTGGGGCATGATCATTATGCAGGAGACATTGTACTTCTGCTGGCAAAGCTTTTCCTGTGGGAAGGAGAAACAGATCAAGTATGTCAAAGCACTGCTGAAGTGGGCAATTGCCTGCACCTGCCACCGTCCTTGTAAAATATCCCAATAAGGTGAACAGATGCATGAGGTCAGTACCAAAGTCAAATAATTCCATGTTAATACTTCATTATAAGGAGGAAGTATCAAACATACCCTTCAAAATACTTTTTATTAGTGAACTGCTCAGCATCTTAAACATTAAAATACATTGTCTAAAGAGCATAATGAAGTTTAAGCACTGTAAAGGAGGAGAAAGGTAAGACAACATTTTCATGATTCGCTGACAATTCTGTCAAGGATGTAAAAGTGGACAATAATATCCATACACATGGTGAAGTTGTATTTTCTGCAATTGCTACACTACATGCCTGCTGGTTTCCATCTTTATTTTGTATTCTTTCTCTAAATGAATATAGAGTCAGGGTGGAGGGGAGGAACCCCATACCCACAGAACTAAGAAGTTACACTTGAAGCATGCTGAATTTTTCAAAGAGGAATGCTTCGCACCTGAATCCAAATCAAGGCAGAACACTCAGAAGCCAGAGCTCTTTCAGACAGAGTGAACTAATATAACATACAGGCAATTGAGTCAAATATTACACTGATTATGACAACAGAAGGAAGAATCTAAACTAGGGAGCTGTTTCAGCAACATAAGGTTATAAGTCCTTCCAGATTTAATAAAAAGGAAGAGCCTTCAAATCTTGTTACCTTTAAAAGATCACACACCAAAAAAAACCCCCAAGTCAGCACAAGGTAGTTTTCAGGGAGACCAAATAAGTCAACTAAAAATATCCAGGTCAGCATTAACTGACAAGAAGTCATGTCAAGCACATATAGTTTAAGACACCACCTATCACTTCAGCCTCCTTACTAAGATGACACCAGACCAGTGATGACACTGACAGGATCACGTGCCAGTACGCTGGTTTCCAAACATTTCTTCAGCTGTGAGAACAGATACCCAAGCCATATTTTGCAAGGTATCTTAGTTTCTACAGTATGGTGAATTATTCCCTCTGTATAGGCTTCCTAAACCCTCAAGACTGTTGCTAGTACAAAGTTCATATCCTGGCAATGTATTTGTAATCATGGAAGAAAAGCCAGAGCATTTCTGTCAGCAAGAGCATACACACACAGAGGTTTTCTTTAAAAAAAAAGAAAAAAAAAAAGAAAAAAAAAAAGCAACAACACATGAACACATGCAGTTCAGTAAATAATTTGAGATTAAGTTTTTTTCCTCTAAGTTTTGGTAGTTAAAACATTTGTGATCAAATGTGACAGATAGTCTGGTCACATGCCACAGGGGGGAAGCAGGGGAAGAAGATGCATCCTTGCTGAAAAAAGGAACAAACATCAAGAGTGACTCACCTTAACACCTGCAGTATCTTAAATAAATCTGGAAAATACTTGCCTATATCAGAGTTGACATGTTTGTATGCCACAAGAACTTCTGACTGACGTAAGACACAGTGAAAATCATGCCTATACATCTCACTGTTACTTTAATCCCAGCAAGGCCCACATCTCAGAAGGAACTGGCCAGACCCCCAAGAGATCACTGTATAGCATGCAGGTATTTGAGAAGAATTTTAGACTTCTTCAAAACAGTATCTTCATACAAATCACCACTTAAAGAAAGAAAATTATATAGGTGATAGGAGGTGGTGATACTAGGGGCAAAAAGTACTGAATTTCTGAGTAACAGCACCAATTCATTACAATTCTTATGGACAATAATGGAAGCTTTTTCTTGTTGCAGGTACATCCAATTATACTTCACCATTACTTTTGGTCATCTTTGTCATCACAGTACACATGGGTATTATTTTTGTTTATAGCAGCCATCTATTGCTTTAAAATTTAAAGCAAAAGCACAATCCACATACATATCCACTCTGAAGAAGACATCCACCATAGTCAATGCATTCTTACATTCAGTGCAGCGAGATCACACTGTACACAAGAGATGAACATGGCCACTTATGTCTAAATAGCCAGCTTGAACTAGCAGTAAAACCATGAAAACACATCAACATTTCAAACAGCTAGCACTTTTAGAAGTTAAGACTTGGTATATTATTGCAAAAATGGAAAAAGATTCAGTTTTCAACTGAAACCACACCACATTCTGGAAACAAACAAAAAAACCGCAAACCAACACCCCACTCCCCACGGCACGTGGTTGAATGCACATACAATTTCTCAATTTGCATCAGTCTTTGAGACAAGAAGGTACAAGTGTATTTGAGACAACACACATTATATTTGAGATTTACAGAGAAGATTTCAGGCTTACACATTTTTTTCTTTGTTGTTGGCACAAGTATGAAGGAAAGCAGGAAATTATGAATGTTAAAAAAACCCCTACACAATAAAAACACACACCACTTTTTTTTTTTTTTTTTTTGTAAGGACATAGAAGAGGAATGGTTCTACATCATAATACAACGTTTTGTGGTCCAGAAAGAGCTTAGCTAGCAAACAAAGATTCTGACAATAAATTTTGCTCACATTTCCATCAACCTAGAAAGCAAGACAGATGCAGTTATTTCCAATGGCACAAAAATGTTAGGACAAAACAACTTATGGAATCAATCATATCCCTATAAGGAACGTGGACAATATGATGTTACAGAAAGAAAACCACATTAAGGATCAGAAGAAAAATGCCCCAGGTTCTTATTACATAAGAATTTTCCAGTGTGTACTAATTACTTTTCATGTGTAAGCATCCTCCAGGTATCCAGATTTATTAAACAAAGTAACTTCATCTACTCATTGTTTAAGTCAGACTTACCTCTTTCACTTCGTTCCTGGAATGAAAATGAATATGACTGGCAGAGAATAAAAATGTACTAGCTAAAACTACATTAAACTGTGGTTTGCTAGAAGGTGGTGGTGTACAACAATTAAAATAAAACAAAAAAACCCCCAATGAAGTGCATTACGTTGAATCCTTAAGTGTAAGGCCAATTAATGAGTTGCCAATTATGTATCAGTCACAGCAATGTTTTAGATAAATTAGACAAGACAAAATTTCTGTGCCAGACTAAAATGCCATTGAGTGAGAGAACTAAACATTCAGGCTAACTACTACAATTAGTCTAGGTATGTTATGAGTGTAAAGAGTCAAGCTGTGATTCAGACAGCTCCAGAAAAGCCAGACACAGATGCAGATTTCCTAGATCAATTAGTTACTCCCTGAAAGGGATGGCTCTGTCAAAGGCAACAGCATTATTGAAATAAGCATCTTAATGGAAAGGTTTGCTTGTACAGATATTCTTTGATGAAATCACTAGCTGTATTTCAGCGACAGCTAAATGGTATGCAAACCATGCTGAAAAAGAAGGCATATTTCTACTCTAACTCATCTTTTAGTAAGAATCCTAGTTACAAATCTGAGTAAAGCTCAACCTTTAGGATATATTTAGGGGTTTCAAGATGACTTCAACAGTACAGCTGCATTATCTGGGTTAAAGAAAAAAAATATTTAATGAACAGCTACTGATCCTAAAGGCATAAGAATAAACACAGCACTCAACCTATCAAATACATTAAGCTCTCATCCAACTCACTCCATTGTCCATGTATTATTTATTCCTTTTCACACTTATTAGCAAGTGTGCAAATTAAATGCGAACATGAAGCAAGTAGAATTCATCACTGGTTAAGTCATAAGCCTGAAAACCCAAATTATGCAAGCTATCTTTTTCAGTAAGAACATTTGTACAAAGCTTCTTCAATTCCAGGCAAACACAGCTTGTTCGTCAGTTTTAAATGTGAGAAGAGAAAAAGAAAAAAAAGAGGGACTTCAAGTTCAAAAGCAAGCATCTGTCGAAAGTTTCTTGGCTATAGCACAGTAGTAAACTATGTCAAAGTCTTCTCTCAAATCTGTCAAAGTCATGCTCTGGGCAGAGGCACATAAATCTTAAATGCCAAACTCGTTTCTATTTTTCTCAAAACCAGAAAGTATGAAGGAAACCACAAACCCTTCATTCTGCCCAACAGAAAACAGGTGCACAGAATTCATGAAAGTACCAATAAGGAAGGATTATCAGCTGATGAGTAGTTCTTACAGTTATCAGACTATAAACTGATGTTAACCTTTGAAATAAAAAAATAATAATTTTAGAAAGTCTTAACAGAAATGCTTATTGAAGCACCTAAAATAAAGGAAATAAAAGCAGTGGAGAAAGAGTTGGGACATTGCTTTCACATGCACCTTGTTTTCCTTGTGTTTTTTGTGTCAATCCCTGACCTCTCCACCCCTGTCTCACAGCTGTATTTTACTTTTTTTTTTTTTAAAACAAGTTTATATTCACATGTTGGCAGTAGCTAATAAAAATAAACTGGAAAGCGTGATTTGCCTATTGTATGCTGCACAATTCTTAGCATCTGCTAATAGAGAAAATGGGAATTATTTTGGACTGACTAGGACAATTTTGTTTCCTGATAGGAAAAGGAGTTAAGTCCGTTTAAAACTTAAGTCTTTTGCTGTCAGATCTACAGTCTTTATAAAAACCTGTCCAAGTCGGGAAGGAATCCATCTTGATAAAGATAGCTGTTTTTTTAATAGCACAAATCCAAACAAATGAACCAAATACTAAGATTTTGTTTGAATTTAAGTAAGAACTTCAAGACTGCATCTACCATTGCTTGAATCAATAATGGCAGTGGCCAGGCAGACCAGACATTTATACAATATGAAAACACAAGTTTCAATTAGAATCTATGATACCTGCAATTAAAAAGAAGTTATCAAGATACACATCTAAATACTGCTGTTGAGAAACAGCCTCAAACCAAGTCCTAATAACCCCAGCAGTCTTTTCTGTAAATGCAATCCTTAACAGCTCTTGAGAAACAGGAATGTGGAGGTTAACACACAGCTTTAATAAGTGCAGGTATGCCATCTGAAACAGAATTCTGTTGTCCAGAGTATCCTTAAAGCCTTCAAAGTTTAAAAGATGCTGTCTCTCAAGAGAATAGTGTAGATTATAAAAGAATACATATCTACAAGATCAACTGTGGACTTCCTAAATTCAGTGTTTTCTATCCAAAGTTGGACTGAACCTCCATCATCCAACCAGGATGTTCCAGGGCAGGTTTCTCAAATATCTAAAAGGAAGGTAAAAGCACTTAATAGCTGTATTTGTATTTTTAGAACAATACACAAGAAACCGTTTGCTTGCTTTTATACATTGGAAGCATCTACAAGATTATCAGTATTCTCTCTACCTCCAAGATACTCAAATAACCTATCTACCTCCAAGATACTCAAATAGCATATTTCAGATATGAATGGGTGCAAGAGGTACTTTTGCTGAGAAAGTAAAGGCAATCCAGTCAAAGGGCTGCCATTGCAGTACCCATCTAAGATGCATGCTATACAAGTATCTTAAGAGGCTGGCTAATGCACAAAGTACAAGGAAAGAAAGTAAGAATAGCAAGGGAACATGGCAGGGTGGGACAGCAAAGATGGACTCATTTTTGCAGTATAAGGAGAATCTTCAAGGAAGTATTTAAGTATGTTACAGTTTTCATGAGTACTACAACTGGTCTGTAATGTCTACAAACTGGTTACTTTCAGAAATTTATATTTCTTGATATACCTACCTCAAATACTGAAAGGTCATTTCTTCTGTAAATTTCATTGGCTGGAGGATGAAACCAGCCACATTTCTTTGAGTGCCTTAACAAAATGTTTTTACTTTTCATGTATTTAAGACAGAATTCACACAGGTAAAGCTTTGGTAATCTGTATGAAAATCAAAAAGATATTTTATACAGAAAAAATATTGTTGAATTCTGTAAAGAAGAAAGTTACCACAATGTGAAAGGCCCTCCCCATTTAAATATAAGGTACGATAAGTACATGCTGCTTACATTTAAATAAATATCACATTAAGAGTGAATGATTAAACATACACACATCAGCCATTAAGAAAAGAAATAGTAGAAAAAAATCAGATTAAACCAAGCAGAGTGAAGCTAATTCAATACAGTTGGACTGCAGTCAGTTGTTTTGTGGTCCAGACTCCCGTAGATCCCAGTTATTTCCCCCTTCCCACATTCTACCTAAGCTTTTGCTGTGGTCTCCAATGCAGGCACATTGGAGTCATACCTCAGGTTTCACCCTTCTTCCAACAAAGGCAAAGGAGGCACGCAGAAGAATACAAAGAATCTCTTTCCCTTTAATCTTCCTTAATTTTTGTACATGGGGAAGGCTAGGAGATTATTTTTCTTTCCACTGTCTTCCAAATACTTGGGTGGGACTGCAAACTGGAGCAGAATTGAACCCCCTCACCTCCACCTAAACTATCTCTTTACTTGAACAGAGAAAACCATCCAAACTGTTTGCACACAGGCAGAAAGGCTCCCTTCCACACACCTCCATGACACAGGAAACACAGATGACTGTATTCTTCCAGGAAGGGTTCAGTTCCCACTACACACAAGTAACCCACATGCCCCATGTAAGACAATGCTGACCTGTGTTCTACACACCAGAAACCACTCCTTTCATTGAATTTTATGGCTATTTACCTTCATTCTTAAATTACTGAAGCAGTGGAAGACTGCTGCAGAAACTATCCTACAAAGTTTTAGCGCAAAGGACAATCTATCAGCTCTAAAGTTACTGGCACATCCTGGGACACACTGGGATCACAGCCATGGTTTACACTATTCTAAGAAATTTTATCAACAGCATAAGAAGTACTTTGAACTGTTTGTTGTATGATGTAATCACACTGCACTCAGAGCTGAGGACCACACTGCCTCCTACAGATGCGATTCCACTGTCACCTCATACTAAGAATTACCCATCATTATGCCTCTATCTGGGATTAATTAACTTAATGGAACAGGTACCAACTCTTTCACAATATGATATAAATTGGAGGGAATAAGTAACTGAAATGAAATATTAACACTATAAAAGCAGTGGTATAGGCAATAAAAACACACTCTATACTTTTTTAGCCCTTGATTTTATATTACCAATTAACAATATATCCCTCATTCCCACCATGCAAAGATGATAATATCTAGGAACGAGTGGGATGGAGAGAAAAGGCAGGCTACAATAATGCTATACAAAGGCATTTCTGGAACAGACCACATAACTTGTTTTTTTTGTTATAGTAGTAGAGCTTGATAAACATACAGTTCTGAAAATCTCCATGTGTGCCATAGATCCAATGGATTCATAAAACATTTATTTTCAACACATGCAAAAGTCAGCAGAGATCTTCTGAGCACACATATTAGTTCATGCTCTCTGCCTGACTCCGAGGTGCACCCTGGCAAAGGAGGCCAGAAATGAGACACTGTTGCCATGAGTTGCTCACTTTGACTTTATTTATCTATCATGTTCAGATTTCTCCCTGGTCCCTAGAAAGAGGAGGTTAACAAATTCTGGATGACAAACAAGATTAAGTGCTCTACATGGCCAGAAGTTGGACATACCTGGTTGCAGTGGTTAAAAACCAAAAACAAACTTAACAAAACCCGCACAAAACACCCAACACAAAAAAATACACCAAACAAAACCCAAAACACCCACAAAGAAACCCCAGACAAAACCAGGCCAATACACACTCCAAGATTATGTTTATGCAGGACTAGGAAAAACAGCCTTACATGAATCTTTGATTAGAACTAGTTAAAAAAAAAAAAAAAAAGGATCATAAACAATTATAAAAGAATAAGAGAATAAATTACAATTATCATGTTAGTAAGTATTCCAACAATGTATGATGATCTTGACAACTCGCTACCTTGCATATTCCTGTGGGTAAGGTGAAGAGTACCAGGTCTGGATCTCATATTTTCCAAATTCAATCACTGAAGGGTATCGCCCACTTGTTTCACCAGTGCTTTTACATCCAAGTTTCTGTCAGGTGCAATAAAAGCAAAATATTATTTCTAGAAAAAGGAAAGTTAGCTTTAGATCATAAATTTCACCCAGTAAAGCTGTGAAAACCCTCAAATATTCAAATCAGTTGCTAAAGTTCTTCCAACCTGGACAGAGGACAAAAGTCTGCAAACAGCCAAGTATAAACAGTGAAAATTTATTTCTAGGTGCCAAACAACTACACATGAAGTTAAATGAGCAGTGCATACAAGTAAGCACGTACAAATAGATGGTGCATAGCCCAATCAAAAAAGAAGCACAAGTGCCTCTGTTTTCATCTCTTGAAATACCTAGTGCGAGGAATTCTCTACAGTTCTATTTCAAACTCAAAGCAGTCCTTCTGCCAAAACAATGAGGGAGAAGGCGTAAGATAAGTATAACCCTTCTAGAGTCCTTTTAATTTACCTCATAACAATCAACAGTACACTAACACATACTAATCTTGGCTATCATACTGACGTATCAGAAAATGACTACTAGACCCTGAAGGACTGGTAAATACAAAGAAGGAAGAAAGGTGGGAGTAAAGAAAAGGAATTTCAATGACAAATTTTAGAAGTCTTAGCACCTAGCATTTTTGGACTGCTTATGAAAGACAAAAAAAGGAGGAGGTGGGAACAATTTCCCCAAACAAATGGAAGTGCAAACTAATAACAAAGTTGAATCTTTAAACTTGGTTCGAGTTTGTTGGTTAATACACTCTGAATGAAGACTATAAAAAGGTCACTGCATTGAACCATAGCAGGTAATGTCAGTTCTTGTACAGCAAACCAAAAAAACCCTAAGTGAATTCCGTTACTGAAAAAAGTACAAGACATACTCTTTTATGATGAAATTTTATAAAAAATACCAGTTGAAATGTTACATGCACCTCCCTTCCTACCCAGGTTCTCAAAGATACTGGTTGCTCATTTCATGGACACAGAAAAAGTAAAGTCTGGTTTGCTATGGGAAGATTCATGTGCCATGTCCAGCTTCCTTGGCAAAAAACCCCAAACCCTCAAACAAAACAATTCGGTCTCCACAAGGTTTAGTTTACCACTACATATGTTTAAGAAGAACACTAACACCAGCTGGTATAAATAGTTTTAGTCAGATTCAGCTCAAATATTTTCACTGCTAGAAAAAATCTGCAGTATTTAAACTCGAAGTGTGTTAAATAATTGCATAAAATAAAGTTACAAACTCACTAAACCCAGTTTCCCACCAAACGGTATTTGCTGGGACAGACTTAACTTCTTACATTGGTTGCTTTATCTGCAGAGAAAAAAAAAAAAATCATTGGGCACATTTTTACCGACCAACATCCTCTCCAGTCCTGACCAGGATGTCAGCTATGCTTAATCTCTATGCTTTATCAGTGGTACTCCTGTGCCCAAAATGCTCAAGTGTATCTTTCAAAATCTGTCCTAAGTGTCACTTATCATCTGACCCACTCCAGTATGATGCCTTGTCTCCCATCCAGGAGAATATAAGTGTATATACAGTGTATCCCAAATTAAATTCACAACAAGCATGACATTAGATCAAAAGGTATATATTAAAAATGAAGATGAATACACATGTGAAGATTAAGTGAGTTTTTATTTACAGAAATAACTACATTTTATGCAACATGATTCTTACCTCCAGGGAAAGTTCTCGAGCCTGCTTAAATACTTCCAAATCCTCCTGTGTAACAGTATCCTTGATTCCCACCAGAAATACATCCGTATTTTCTTGTTTGATGCTTAGTTTGATTTCAGTATCTGTTATTTAAAACCAGCAAAAAATTTATTCACAGACATGAAGACTATATGTGCCTTAGCAAAGTGATACTCCTAAAAAGGGTTGTAGCAACTATGGCTGTTATGACTCCCTATTTTAACTAAATTTGGGATTACCAAATAACAGAAATTAAACATTCCCCCCACTTTTTGTTTTGAGTTTGCTGTTGCATGAGCTATTTTTGGTATTTGCTTGTCTGTCTGTCTAAGCCTTTACAGTCCAGTTTACTAAATTAGTTTTGAACCTCATGAAATGGAGTATACTCTATCACTAGAACTATGCCAGGTGATAAATTCTGGTATACTCTACAAGGTAAAAAAGAAAAAAAATAAGAGGAAAAAAGTTGCCCTTTAAAGTTGGAGACCAGTGCTAAGCTAAGTCTACATTCAAACATTATAAATATATTCTTTTCTTAAATAAAAGCAATTATAAAAAAGGTAGCTCACAGCAGTACAGATCAAGTGTCGTGGAGACTAGCAGGATGGAAGGAACTGTTCATGAAAAAGCAATGGAGCAGAGGGAAATGAATTGAAATGCCCAATGTTATAAGCACTGACAGCACACAATCATGATGACAGCACTATTGCCAGAGAAAGGGCAGGGAAGAACAAGGAAGTAGCATGAAAAATGGCTACTCATGCGGTACTACACAGCCATAAGCAACATTATGAAGGCATTTGGGGCTCCTAGTGTCACTACAGATGCAAAAAATAATAAAAAGGTGGTGTGGTATTAGTCAGAAAAAAAAACATTTTAGAGATTTAGTCAGCATTAGATAAAAGGTCAAAGTTTTGTTGCTTTTGTATGAAAGTGAAGTAAGAACAAGAGAAATAGCTAAGACCTATGTGACAATATAAGAATTTTGGTTTGGACGGGACGCAGGTTTGGTTGGCGCTTTGACCTTTGCTTACCATCATCCTGATCAGGTTTAATCCTTCCGTCTGCCAAGCTCCCCTTCCCTGGTGAGGGGGTCCCCATCTGAGGGGTCACTTTATACTTTAATCTGCCTAGATTCCTGTGCTTTTTAAGGAAAGTTGTTCTCTTGAGGTGAGCAATTGCTTTAAAAGCATGTCCTCTAGACACACCCCATCCAGAGGTACAGGCATGAGAAATAAACCTGCTCCCAACCTCTTTCTTTCCATAGAAACAGCTATTAGATTTTGATGTGGAAGATAATTCTGGTTTACGACGCAAATGTTTGGGTGGTGCATAGCTTGGGTGTCCCTTTTTTCGAGACTGTCCCTGAGTGGTATAGATATGAGAGAGTCCATCAAAGAGTCCCTTTAACTGACTGTTATTAGGAAGGCTACTAAAGGAGGGTACACTTGACTGACTGGAAGAACTTTGGGGAGAGTTAGAAGAAGTGGAAGTGCTGGATTTTTGTGAACTGGGGCTCTGACCAGAGATGGGGGTTGGGGGTAGAAGTGAAGAAGGTGGAGGTTTTAGCTTTTGTGTGGTACCTGTAGCCAACACAAGAGAAGTGCATGACTGTTTCTGAGAGACCTTTTTCCTTGGACGATAGTGCTTTGAAAAGTCTATTATTTCACCTCGTGATCTGCGACCATCAGGTGATGGTGTAAAGAACTTAGTAAGGCCATCAATGAGCCCTTTGGTTTTCTTGTTAACTTTAAGTGTAGAGGCAGATATGTAGGTGGAGGTGGTGGTGATTTTGGTGGTGGCACCAGGCCGAGTGGGGTCTGTAACAGGCAATCTGCTGCTTGAATCCTTCACAGATGCAGCATGACCAGATGAAGGTGTGGTACAGACTTTAGTCTTTTGACCCCTACCAGGTGACCCCCTTCCTGTGAATGCATTCACGGATCCTTCATCACTGGTTACAGACCTATGCAAAAATTTGGAAAATGAAAATCAGCATTAAACGTCTGTAACTACTGCCAAATAGTACAATTTATACAAGTTACTTATGCCACTGTACTTAAAAAAATCTCTAAAGAAATTTAAAGACGTATACACTTTGGAAATACATTTCACATTATGACATAACATCCAACTACTCCCCCCCCCTTTTTTCTTTTTTTTTTCCCCCCACCTCCTTTTTTTTTAAAAAAGACATTCCACAGTACATATAAATAGAAGCAGCTAGGATAGTAGGATCTCCAAAGTATATAGTCTCCCCACCTACTTTTAGGCATCATAGAAGTGTGCTTCTTTGGGGAAAAACACCAATGCCCTGTGTCCGAGCACAACAACTGATCCATCACCACAGAGTTTATTGTACACACAAAGGAGATACACATGTTCAGTGTTAATAAATTACTGCATATCAAAACACTTAACTTCAGACTACATTTGTTTGAATTGTAGAGAAAGTCTATTAGTCCTTTAAAGCAATACAGTCAGTTTTCAAGAAACTGCTATTTTTTCCATACTGTATGTTAACACTAGTGTAAAAATTACCACCAAAGACCTAAAAGCAAAGTGAGGTAGTTTATGAAGAGCTTTACAACAAAACAAAAAAAATAGACTCTGTTTCCTTTAGAAATTGTAACAATAGCAAAACTAAAAATAGCTAAGGAAAGGGTGTTTAAAGAAAAGGCATAAACCAGTCAGGCTTAACGTGGAAGGTGTTAAGAGTGGTATATGTTATTTAAATGCTAGGAAGAAAAAGAACATGCTGAAAGCCAACGTTTGTGACACCAGAAGCACAGATAGCTGGTCGCAAATGACTGAAGAGAGGAACAAGACTGAATGATATGCTGAAGAGTAGTACATTTTAAGCATATAGAAACACAAAGTTTAAAAATATTTGCAGTAAAAGAAATAGGTATCAGGAGGCATGATCAAATTGCAAATCCAAACAAAGCTATACAGTTGAATCAAATGCTTCTATTCCCTTTTCCATCTTGCTCTTTGAAGTTAGCTTATTTACTCTGCAGTGGAAAGTTTTCTTCCACAGATTTTGCCTTCTTAATTGAGATGCTGAAGTAATTAATTCCAACAGGTTGCTTCTAATTGGAGATTGAACAGCCTGGGGCTACCATCTGGTTTACTGAACTCCAAGGGCTCACCAGTTTAAGAACTAGCCCCTTTTCCACTCACACATCCCTAAATTTGGTTAGCTCCTAAGAGGCAACAAAACCAAAAACTTCTAAGCCTTTTGAATCCTTTGGTGCCATAAGCTTATGTCCATCACAAGACCTATTCTCACTACCAGATGTAGTAATCACCATCAGTGCCAGGGGCCAAACACACCTGGTTTTAGTTAATGCTACACAGTAATTTGCCTGTGAAGGGCTTCCTACAGATGGTTAACTGGCAAAAAATTACTGCAGTACTACTGGACAAATTTTCTTTGTAGAGACAAAAAAACTTAAGTGGCATTAGCTAACCTTCCTGTATTTCCTGTGACCACAAAATTTTACATATGACACTGTAATTTTCTGTACCCCATGATCAATTTTCAGTAGGATTACATTAGGAAGAGTCTCTCCCCTTATCCCATCTCCTACTCACTGTTCTTCCAATACAAGATTACTTTGTTTTTCTTTATACAGATAATTATTAGACATTGAAGTCACAGAAGTGTGCCCACAGTATTTAAAATATTTATTACACAAAGAACCCTCACAAGTACTATAACATGCTCATGTGCTATAAAGAAGAGGAAATCTTTATAAAAATACTCACAATCATCATGCAATGTTCAGAGAACTTCTGCATCCTCTATTATGACATTTACTTTAAAAGTTGTATCTCAGAATCCCATTAGCAAAATATAACAGTAAAACCCTCATAACCTTCCAACTTTCGTTCTACATGTATGAGGAAGGAGGAGAAACAGAATTACTGTCAGACAAACATTCTTTCTAAATCCACTGCGGGAACCCAAATCAGGAATGTGTTTGGAGAAGATGGCAGTACTGTATTAGAACCCTAACCTCCAAGTTGAAGGTTTAGGAGTTTTCTAAGGGGTAAAACTAGAAGTGTAGATAGAGATATATGGAATATTTTTATTATGCACACAGTGATATATAGGAATTTCAGTTAAAACACTGAAAGTTGTATGGCTATTTCAATGACCTTCAAATTCGTAAGTTATTAGTCAGGGAATGGAGAAGTAAAAGAATGTTTCACCCATTCTTCCTTTAACAGCATGCTCTCATGAGCCACTACAACTATATCTTTTACTTTCATGTAGCACGACACTTCATCCTTGTCCTGTACTGCTTTCCTAGAGCAACATAAACTGCACTTCAGGACAAGGACCAAAAAGGCAAGACAAAGAGATCCTGGCAGAGAGAGAAGAGAAAGAGAATATACCAAGCTGCACAGCACCAAGTACATCAACCTGACTAGTGTGCCATATCCTAGTACTGAGAGTACATTTTTTTTTTACCTTCTGTTTTTACATGTTGGCTCCACTGGCTCTAGAAATCCTTATTTTGCAAAATGCAAAGTTTTACAGCAGCTACCGTGCAACTCTGAAGAATATCAAACGGGTGTTTAGACTACAGAGAAAAATGATTGGGTAACAGCCACATGACAGAATGAGTAGTAGATAGAGCCAGAAAGCTTTACAGCTGCTGAGTTGACATGGCCAAACAGATAGTTAAGTAGGAGGAGAAGAAAGGTGTATGTGGATAGGAACATGTGATGGAGGGCAACATGCTACTTGAGTTAACACAGAATCTGTTCCTGTTTAACATTCAGTGTAATGTCAACTCAGCATTTGATCACTACTTAAACAATCCTCCAACCAAGCCTTAAGATGTTCAGCTACAGTGTTCCCTGGAAAAATAGATGCCAAAAGAATTACAGCATTCTCTTGTCTTAGATAAACACATTCCCAAGAAGCAAGAGGAACTGCAACCTCTTCCCTAGTAACCAGTGGCAGCTTAACAGCAGAATTCAAACAATAATTTTTTCCAGAGTACCACTGAAGCTAGAACTTCTGTAGCTCTTGCATAATTTTCATTTTGGAGTGGGTTTTGTGAGCTGATTAACTAATAAAGTCATTTTTATACAACTTTTGAGTAGGTCTTTGAGCAGAACAGTTTTCTGAAGTTGGAATAACTCACTATTATCCACTTAGCATAGATTTTGTATGTACTTCAATTATTTGAAGTTACACTTAAAAGATAGCTGTGGCATATGTTATCATGCAGACTTTTATTTGTATCTGCTATAGGTACAAGTTTTTTTAAAAAATTATGGGATCTAGAAACATAAGTTCAGGAAGTTTTTTCATCATATTCTGACATGACACAGAAAGCACCCACTGTAATTAAGCTGTTGTTGGCCATTGTGCTGAAAGGCATATACTAGAATACTCATCACATACCTTCCCCAACTTGAAATAGCATTAAAAACTGTAGTTGAATCTCCATCAACTCTTACCTGACTACATTCTTAGAAACATTTACCACAAAAAATTCAAAAGAAACCTACAACATTCGTTGCTTTAGTTTATTTTTCGGTCGTCCAATAGGTTTTGCATATCGTCGCCTTATTTGGGCAGCTTTCTCATGAAGTAGCTTTCTCCCTTTCTTCTTTGGTCTACAGACCTGGCAAATCCACATCCCTACATAAAGGAAAAAGTTTAATAGTACACAGTTTAATCTGTACTGCAGGTGTCTACCAAGATACATGCCATGTATACAAGGTCAACAAATTATCTTATGAACAAGACATGGGAAAGGAGAAGTGGACAAAGAAAAGTGATCCACTTCTACCCATGCTTTGAAATTTCTGAAGACAAAAGTGCATCATGAAAGTGGAACAGAAAAAAAAGTAATAAGGATCACAGAAAACATTGTGAGCAAATGGGTTCTTAAAAGAATTTCTGTTCTAACTTGTCCCTCCTTATATTACCTAGAACTTTCTTCAGGAACAATTAAGACTGGAGGGGGGGGAGAAATCACATGTGTGTTACAAAGCAGTCTAGGCCACAGTGCACTCAAGAAAAGACCAGATCATGCACAGGTATGTTTAATATACAACAACTTCAATTTGGTAACCTTTTAACATTAGATGACCATATCTGAACACTTAAATAAGTGTTATAAGGCTGGGGACTTGGGAGAGAAAAAAAAAAAAGCTGGAAAAAGTCTTTAGTATCACTTTTAAGATTAAATAGGGAAAGCCATAAAGATGCGAAAGCAGAAGTAAGAGGTGCCATATATCAGAAATTTAGAGATTAGAGAACCTGAAGACGTGGGTATAGGTGTTTCGTCTGTTTTTTAAATTACTCTTACAGAAGGCATGAAGAAGCAGGCTCTTTCACCTGCGCTAGATTTCTTTGTCAGTGTATATGCTCCAAACATTTTAACAGCCTTCACAAAACTTCACCTTCAATAAACTGGCCAACAACTCAATTCACAGAGAATTCACCTGGTCAGCTGACCACAGACCTTTACTATTTTCCTGAGACAAAAAAAACTCAAGTGAAGAAAAATAAAAGTGGCTTTGACATGGCTGAAATCATACTGTTTACCAATGCAAAAATAATTAGCATGCTCAAGAGCTTTTGGTCACTTAATATGAGAAAAGACTGTGAATGAAAGTATTTTCATTTAAAGGATTTTTATTATCACCTTTTGGCATTCGGGAAAGTGGTGGGTCACAGCACTCCATGTGGAACCCTCTATCACAGGAGTCGCAAAAAAGCATGTTATCCTGAAGGGGGG